CGGAAAAATTATGATATATCCGGAAAAATTTTTGTATGTCCACGAAAATTACCATATGTGTTTGGAAAATTTTTCGTATGTCCTGAAAATTTTTTGCGACGTCCTCCCCCCCCCCAAAAAAAAAAGGCAAAATCCTCGCAACGGCTCTGAACGGCATAACTACCTAAGTTGAAGACATTCAAAGGCATAACAATCCAACTTGAATGTTTATGCCGAAGACAGACAGACAGTCAACTATCTTCGACATAACCAGTCAACTGTCTTCCAACTAGAATGGTTATGCTGAAGACGTTCAACCATTCAACGCCATAACTATCCAAGTCGAAGACATTCAACGGCAAAAACCATCCAAGTTGATTGTTTATGCCGAAGACATTCAACTGTCTTCCAAGTTCAATGGTTATGCCGAAGACAGTAAACGACATAACCATCCAAGTTGAATGGAAATGCCGAAGTCACTCAATGGCATAACTATCAAAGTTGAAGACATTCAAAGGCATAATCATCCAAGTTGCACCTTCATGCCGAAGACAGTCAACCGTCTGTCAACGGCATAACCTTCCAAGTTGAATGGCTATGCCGAAGACAGTCAACTGTTTTCCAATTTGAATGGTTATGCTGAACACAGTCAACGACTGAACGACATAACCATCCAAGTTGAATGGAAATGCCAAAGTCATTCAATGGCATAACTATATCAAAGTTGATGACATTCAACGGCATAACCATCCAAGTTCCACCTTTATGCCGACGACAGTCAACGGCATAACCATTCAAGTTGAACGGTTATGACGAAGACATTCAATGGCATATCTATCCATGTTCAAGACATTCAACGGCATAACTATCCAAGTTGAATGTTTATGCGGAAGATCCAAGTTGAAGACATTCAACGGCGTAACCATCTAAGTTGCATGTTAATGCCCAAGACAGTCAACGTCATAACCAACGAAGTCGCATGTTTATGCCGAAGACAGTCAACGGCATAACTTTCCAAGTTGAATGGTTATGCTGAATAATAATAATATTTAATATTTCTATTGCGCGATTTTACATAATGTATATGACCAAGTGCGCATTACAATTTTTCAGTGACTGCTTAGTTACAGCCGAAACTGGCGTGAAGCAGACGGAGGTAGACTCTGAGCTAAAAAATAACGCTTCAAGCAGCCGCTATTAGTCCATACCTCATTAATGATCTGCCCCCTAAGCTATGTCCTTAACCCACCCTGTCAACCTAAGCTATGTCCTTAACCCACCCTGTCAACCTAAGCTATGTCCTTAACCCACCCTGTCAACCTAAGCTATGTCCTTAACCCACCCTGTCAACCTAAGCTATGTCCTTAACCCACCCTGTCAACCTAAGCTATGTCCTTAACCCACCCTGTCAACGTTCCCTGTGGGAGGAAACCGGAGCACCTGGAGAAAACCCACGAGTTTCGGCAGAGCGTTGACCGAAGACAGTCAACCGTTTTCCAAGCTGAATGGTTATGCCGAAAACAGCCAACGGCATAATCATCCGAGTTGAATGGTTATGCTGAAGACAGTCGTTGAATTGAATTGAATTTATTAATTGACATTCCCTAAAATGGGCTTTTCAATGACAATTTACATGGATTTTAGAAGAAATTATTAGTTATCGACTATATATATTTACAACAATCTTATCAAAGTTATTACGCGAACTAAAATTATATTATATATTATGGTTTATAAGTTAAAAAAGTTAAGAAGAAGAAGGACATCGCTTCTCAATAAGAATTGTCTTAAGTTTCGTCTTAAAATTGTTCAAATCACTAATTGATTTCAGCTCTGTATCTAGACCATTCCATATCTTAGTCCCTCGGTATTTGAACGATCTTTGACCGATCGATGTCCTATATTTTGGAATATCCAGGTCTCCATTTCTTCTAGTAT